TCACTGCCCATCTGCACAGCCCTCCAGGTCTTCTATGGTTGGTATGGAGATTAAAGGCATGTGTCTCCATGCTGGCTGTATCCTTGAACACACAGATATCCACCTAGCTCTGCCTCCCAAGAGCTGGGATTAAAGGCATGCACCACCACTGCCCATTTTCTGCTACGGCTTGCTATTAGCTCTGACCCCCAGGCAACTTCATTTATTAACATACAAATAAAATCACATTTCAGTACAATTAAAATATCACCATAAAACAAAGTTTCGCTGAGAAGAATTAACTGGCAAGATGGTGACTCCTAAGAGGAGTGTTGTCTCTGTGTACATTGTTTTCACCTGCTAGTCTCTCCCTTTCGAGGGTTACCACCACCAAGACTGCCAGGACACATTTTTTTGTCATCCTCCAGCTTCATCTCTCACAGAGTGACACAAGCCACAGAGAGTGATCACTAGTCCTCTCTGTGTGCTGGGGCTGTGCTCTGCACTGAGTATCCTTTCCTTCCTATGGTTAGATTACGTAATACTGGAGAGTACAACCCATAACTATTGTGCAGGAGCAACGTCTGAGAGGAGCGAGCTGAGACCTGAGTTTCAATTCAGCCCCTGCCTTGTTAGCTCTAAAGTCATGTTCTGGCTCATCCTTGGCAGCCACAATAGGTGTGACTTGGGGTCGCATGGAGGAACTGGCTCCCCAGGAAAAGTCTGGTTTCTCAGATGCAGACTTGGTGAGAACTCAAGACAGGTGGCTTCCACCTGTCAGCTCAACAGTGCCACTGATGCTCACACTCCAAGGGACTCATTTTTAGTTTCAATACCATCTTCCTTACACGTATTAATCACCAAGATTGCAATCAGAATCACGACTGTAGGAGACAAAACCAGAGACTTGGAGAATTGTCACCTATGTTTACATTAGACTTCCAAATGAAGTGGGTGGGGGTAGGGGGTTAAGAAAAGTAAAGTCAAGAAATAGATATTAATCCAACTCTTTGTCAGAGATGACTTTCATAGACAATAGAAATTTTGATGAGCATTTTTTCTATTTTTTTCTTTTGTGTGTGTTTTCATGTTCATGTGTGTTAGGTATAGATGTGGGTGGGGAGGTTACATGTGCAGTGTGTGGAGGCCAGAGGACAACCTTAGGTATTGTTCTTCAGGTGCCTTTTTATTTATTTATTTATTTATTTATTTATTTATTTATTTATTTATTTATTTTTTGACAAAGGTTCTCTAACTGGCTTTGACGTCACCAAGTAGGCCAGAGTTGGTGTTGAGCTTTAGGAGGACATTAAATGTTCAAATTATTAAAAGAAAAATCCAGCCCTATTACCTGGTGTCTATGTATGTGCTTGTGCATACAAATTCTTCTCAGAAAAAAAATTCTTGAGGATGAGATTCTGTCAATTTAGGGCTATTAAAAACAAAGTGAACACAAAGTGGGGTATGGTCATGATGGGTATATTTCCAACACTTCAGAGTCAGAGGTAGGAGAATCCTAAGTATGAGATATTATATATACATATATATATATGTATATATATATATATAAACTTAGAAGATTTAAACAAGATCATATGTAGTTGATATTGAAGGCATTTAACTTGAAATTAGTGGCTAATATTACTATTACAAAAATATTGCATAAAAGAACATTATAAATGTGAAATTAATAAATATCATTCAAAACCACAGATAAGACTATACTGGTGTTCACATTATTAAAAGCAAAATAATCAAGACATGTTGAATATATCTGAAAAACACTACTCATGTCTTAAGAAGCTTCAATGATGTTTGAGACAATTCTCTCAAATGCTGAGGATAAATGTAAACTTTTACTTGATCCCCCAAATCTCCCTCCTATTAAACAACTGCTTCCTAAAGTGGAAGTAGCCTGACCCAAATGACCCCTTCCCATGTATTCACAGCCCTCCATGAATTACAAAATGCGCTCATATCATTGCTGAACCTTACGACATCTCAGTGGCCTGCATTTATTTCTGTAAACTAGAAGATAAACATTTTTCCTGTCTCAGCCCACTTTTTTTTCCCACAGTTTTGACCCATGCTGGCTGCTGCAGTGGAACTTCTGTGCCTTCTGAGTTTAGTTCTTGTGAGCCAACTGGGAGTCCCAACAAAATGGGGGAGGGAAAAATGAGACGTTATGAAGGGTCATCTCTCTCTCTCCCTTTCTGACACAGAAATGATCCTGTTTTTATATTCTATTTGGTTTGTGTTGGAACACTAATTAATACATTTTCTTACATTTTAAGCCATAAATCCATTTTTAAAGACCAGTCGCCTATGTGATTCCAGGACTGCAGGCCATGGTTTTGTGCTGCCTTGGTTAATGGCTGACTTATAGAAGAAACATTTGATGTACCACTTGCTGTCCTTTGGTAAAAAAGAAGTTGATCACAGAGTTTATCATTTTGCTCTGGTTAAGTTAGAAAAATACTCGCAATGGATTAAATAATTAACTTCAAAACCATTTTTTACAATCAAGCTGATAACATACTAGATTTTTGCTAGATATGGAACTAGCCATGAGTAAAGGAGGAGACAAGAAGGAAGGACTAGAAGCTGAGGGCACACTTCAGTCCAGGCAGCAGCAGAAAGAATCAAGGTGGCTGTAAACAGGCTTCATAAGGTACCACATGCAAAGGACTAAGGAGAGGACCAAGAGAGACAAGTATTGGATGAAGGCAGAAAGGGTGATGAGCATCAATGTAACAACATGCTACTCAACTTCTGCCAAGGACCTGAATTACTGCAGGGCAGAAGATCCTCTCTGTGGGCATACTCGTGATGCATGCGAGCTCCACTCAGATTCCTTCCAGAGAGCATGGATGCTATTCTCCAATTAGTGTGATTATCAGATGCCAATTGCTTCCAGCCTCTTCCCTACACACTGAGGGACAAGTTCACAGTCATTGGCTGGCAAAAGGGATACAGCTTATGCTCCAGTATTCCTCTGTGGGGTCAGGCCCTTTCTTGTGGATTTCTTCTGAAGATTACCTCCTCAATATGTCACACATGGATCCTGGTCTCTGTCCCTGCTTTAAGCCAAACCTTTATATGCTACATTTTGTTGGTCTGTATCCTTAGCCTTCTCCCCCTCTTTTGTCTTTCAAATATTTATCAACCTCTTATTATGTGTGAGCCACTGATTTTAAGTAACCAAACATAAGAAAGCCACTGAATTTGGGTTACATCACTCAGGATGATTTTTTCTAGATCCATCCATTTGCCTGCAAACCTCATGATGCCATTGTTTTTTCTCTGCTGAGTAGTACTCCATTGTGTATATGTACCACATTTTATTTATACATTCTTCAGTTAAAAGGCATCTAGGTTGTTTCCAGGTTCTGGCTATTACAAACAATGCTGATATGAATATAGCTGAGCAAGTGCCCTTGTGGTATGTTTGAGCTTTCCTTGGGTATATGCCCAAGAGTGGTATAGCTGGGTCTTGGGGGAGATTGATTCCCAATTTTGTAAGAAAGCACCATATTGATTTCCAAAGTGGCTGTACAAGCTTGCATTCCCAGACTCAGAAAGACAAACATGGTATGTACTCACTCATAGGAGGATACTAGATGTAAAACAACAGATGACTAGACTGCTACTCATAATTCCAGGGAGGCTACCTAGTACAGATGACCCTAAGAAAGACACAGGGATCACACAACAACAGAGAAATGGCTGAGATCTACATGAGCAAAATGGAAGTGGGGGGGGGGGTAATAAAGGGCAAGGGTCGGGGGAAAGAGAGCTTAGGGGAGCGGAAGATCCCAGCTGGATCAAAAACAGAGAGGGAAAACAAGGAAAAAGAGACCATGATAAATGAAGACCCCACGGGAATAGGAAGAAGCAAAGTGCTAGAGAGGTCCCCAGAAATCCACAAGGATACCTCCACAATAGACTACTGGCAATGGTCGAGAGAAAGCCCCAACTGACCTACTCTGATGATCAGATGGCCAAATACCCTAACTGTCATGATAGAACTCTCATCCAATGATTGATGGAAGCGGATGCAGAGATCCGCCGCCAGGCCCCAAGTTGAGCTCCAGGAGTCCAATCGGCAAGAGAAAGGAGGGATTGTATGAGTGAGAGATGTTGAGACCATGATTGGAAAAAGCACAGGGACAAATAGCCGAACTAGTGGAAACACATGAACTATGAACCAATAGCTGAGGAGCCCCCGTGGAATTGGATCTGGTCCTCTAGATAAGTGAGACAGTCGATTAGCTTGAACTGTTTGGGAGGCCCCAGGCAATGGGACTGGGACCTGTCCTTGGTGCATGAGCTGGCTTTTTAGAACCTGGGGCCTATGCTGGGACACTTTGCTCAGCCTGGGTGAAGGGATGAGGGGACTGGACCTACCTCAACTGAATCTACCAGGCTGAGCTGAATCCCCAGGGGAGTCCTTGCCCTGGAGGATATGGGAATGGGGAGTGGATTGGGGGGAGCGCAAGGGGGCGGGAGGAGAGAGGACAGAGGAATCCGTGGCTGGAATGTAAAATTAAATTAATTACAATTTTTTTAAAAGAAAAAAGAAGAAAGCCATTGAAGGAGGCTGTCCAACTTCAAAACAACCTTGACTCATGTTTCATTTGGTTGATCAGACTTAGTTCAGCAAAAATTAAGTAAAGTAGAACACCCATATTTTCTCCAAGTGGGATCTGTAGGTGAATAGCATATTCATAAAATTCTTTATATAACCTATTGTTAGAAGCCTGCAGTAACTAATCCTCTAATTCCATTTAAAAGAAAATAATGATAATTTATAACTCCATGAGTAATACCTATGTGTGTGTAAGTATATGTATTATGTACACATGCACATACACTCCTGGACACAGAAATAATACTTAAGGAAGCAAAAGCAAACTAGGCAGGTTAACTGGCTAGTGTCATTAGACTGTTAAATTTATTTCCTGAGACAATTTATTTACATTAGAGAAAAATTATTTACATAAATTATGTCAAAGAAGAAGTGGTATAGGAACTCAGAGTTTATTTTGAGATATCTGTTTTAATAATAGAGAGCTATTAAGTTAACTACAAAACAGCTTTACCACGATGGTACTCAGGAGAACAAGAGCAGGGTCTTGAAAGTGAAAGCATGGCTAAATAAATCCCCCAGGGAAGCTACAAAAATCACCACAGAAAATCAGCAATAGAACAGGCCAGTAGGTGGTGCTGTTGCTGTGTGTAATGCACAGGGGGGAAAAAAAGAAAAAAAGAAAAGAGAAGCCAAGCCTTGTGGGGAAAACACCGAGAGGAAAGAACCTTGGAGGAAAACAACCCTAACTTCTACAGTCTCCCAAAGCTGATGCGGTCCTTTCTTACTGTCTCCTTTCTAAGCTCCATCACATTTCACTGTCTCACTGGGTTGAATGAAGAGCTCAGCCTTTGTGTTTTAAGACAAAGCTATGGCCAACAGGCTGTTTTCATGAGCAAGCTGCCAGTTTCAACAGAGCTCTGGTATATCTCAACTAACTTGAACAGACACCTTACCCACAAGCCAAAAATTTGAATATGGAAGATGGCATAAAACTCCTCAGAATGCATCTAAGTTCTACAACTGTAGGGAAAATTATTATCCCACAGTTATCTTTTGCTTGGCCAAAATAATTTTTTTTTTAAATCTAGGTTGAAATTATTTTGTTCCTAAAGTGATATGGCTTTGCACAATTCCCAACGTCTCTCAAAGGCCATGTCAGCTATGCCAAAAGAGGCTCCATATAGATACCTCATACACAGCAGTCTTTTTAAAAGCTCAGAAGAAAGAATCAGTTCCTTCCTTTCTGTGTGATAGGATTTATTACCTAGTGTCTGCTTGGTAAAATTCATTTTCATGGCTCAGAAATCCTGGTGTAGAAAGCAAGTAAGTCAGATTAAAACTTCAACACAAAGGATTATATTGGGAACACATTACCCAAGTGGACATGCCTTTTATAATTAACTTGTGGCTACACATTATTCTTGACTTCAGTGGTCTGACAAGAAGATATTGCCCTAATATGGCCTAATATTGCCCTATGGCTGATGCATAAAACATCTTCAATTCCTGCTACCCTCAAAGAATCACAGTCAAAGAAATGTAAGTTGCATAATAAATTGAGAAAGAGCAACAAAAATGATGTGTGATAGCTGTGAAGGTAGCTTACATTATTCAAGTTCATGAGGCTCTTTACCAGACTATGGAGCCATTAATTCATTTTATTTTTGCAATGACCACATTAGGCAGATGCTATCACTGCCCCTCTATTCCGACAGAAGACATTGACATTGAGAAATGACAAACAGCTTCCCATGGACCAACGCCTAATAAGCTACCCAGAATTTGAATACAGACCGACCAAAAGACACATGTATTCATTACATCATTTTCAGAGATGAAAGTGGACATTAAAATTATGAGTGGTGCAACTGGAGTCAAAACCAAAGACTTGAGGATTTGTGGTCTGAAGCGCTCTCGTGCACTGCATTCAGTGGTCTTTCCCTTTAATATAAGTGTAGTTTCAAGTCTATCAGACTAGCTAGTTCACCTCAGTTAATTCTCTGCACTTGGCCAAAATGCTGTTTGGAATTTCATGCCCAATCATTGCTGTGAGTTCCACTACAAATTCAGATGGTCTGTTTTTCCAGTACTCTTCAAACAATATGGTCTCCTAGCAGAGAAGTCCATAATGCAAGCTTAATGGTGGGATGTAAGAGAAAAGGAAAGGGAGAGGTTTAGATATTAAAATTCCAGACCTATATTCATCCTGGAAAGAAGAAAGATTACCAGGTGCCTTCAACCATGGGCATCCAATATTACCGAAAATAGCTTGCTTGATGTTCAATATCTTACTAAGGATGTATGAAGATGATAAGCTAAGAATCTCGAAACAACATTTCATTTCATTTCATTCATTCATTCACTTATTTATTAATTTTATAGTTTAACCACAGTTTCCCCCTCCCTCCTCAACAATTCATTCTTGATGACTTTAGTTCTTCTGACTTTCCTTTTATTCTTATTAAAACAATTCTCCAGCTTCTGAGGAGGATGCTGATTCTATCAGTCAACTTAGTCTGAATTATACTGTGTGAGAAAAGACATTCCAACTTCCAAATCTTAATAGCTTACATCATCAGAGCTTCCTTTCTTGTTCATCTTATATAACAGTGAGAGATCAGCTGTGGCTCTTCCATCTGGAACTCATCCAGGCTCAAGGATCATTCCATCTGTGACCAGCCAGTTCAGGAGCTGTGGGGAAAGGATGGTGGTAAAATCACAAAGTACAAAACACAGATCTTTTCCTCAAACTGCTTTCTGGCATTTCTAAGCATATTTTATTGGCCAGAGCAAGCCATGTGGCCAAGCATGGTGTCAATGAAGAAGGACAACTTAATCCTTTTTAAAAGCCTGGAGTTTCACCTAAATAATATTCAGAAAATGCTATAGTCATCATATTTAATTGTATTATATTAGGCTAGGAAGGCTTCTTCCTTCATAAATTAATAGTGGAAAAGTACAAGCACAATTTAGAACATCACCTAATGTTTATGGAAAATAAATTAAAGTCTCAAAGCACAGAAGTGCATCTCTACCTTCCCCAGTAGTAACATGTTGGGGAAAAGTCTTTTAATGGTACATTGCTGACTTGAAAAAAACACAAAACAGAACTCAGAGGGCTGCAGAGTCCAAGGTGGAATTACTCTACCACCAGAACCACAGCATGTGTAGGGTCATGCAGCTTCTTTTGGAATACTGGGGGGGAAATCAGGCCTCATTCTAACTCGTTGCTTTGTAGTTCTTTGCAAATATGTTACTCAGAGTTTAAAGACTGATAGAGGGCAGGGAAGCCACTGAAAGTTCAGGTACACATAAATCATGGCATAGCGTCATTTTATTCTGAAAAGTTCTGCCCAAGTCATTTGGACAGAAGCAGACAGATTTATAGTAAGTCTTAAGAAATTTGATCTGAAAATTGAGGGATATTAAATGTATGATTTGGCTGCAATAACCAACTTCAGCCATTTTAAATAGACTGAAACCTTGATTGCTACTGGTTTAAATTGCATCTAAATAAGGAGATCTGTATCCTGAGGGGATGATTAGAATGCAAGTTTGAATATAATTTTTTGGAAGTCAAAATGAGATCTAATTTGCATATAGGAAAAAAGCTTGTCCATCTGTAAAATCTGAGGCACCAAACCTCTCTGTGTATTAAAGTTGTGCTGTCTAGCATGTCTAGTCCTAACTCCAAGATTTTTATACACTTAAGGATATTCAACTCTGATGTATGTGTGTCTCTCCTCTCTCTCTCTCTCTCTCTCTCTCTCTCTCTCTCTCTCTCTCTCTTTCTCTTTCTTTCAGTTCTGGGGATTGAACCCAGGCCCTCCTGGAGCATGCTGGACAAGCACTCTTCCACTGAGCTTTCTCCTCCACCCTCACCTCTCAACTTCTTCACTGGTTCTTTACTTGAGGATGAGCTACTTTGGTAAAGTACGCAATCACAACCAAGTCTGTCTCTGCTATGATGGTGCATATGTATACTACTTAAGCACAGAGCCAGTTCATCTGTGTTAATGGTCACAATACTACCAGCTACCAGGTAGTTTCCAATTACTACTTAGTCTAATATGCAAAATCTACCATATTATTCTGAAACCTGTTTTAAGCTTCAAAATATAGATCAATATAATAAATTTATAATTAAGTTTTAATTTCTCATCAATAATATACACGTTTTTAATTACCATTCCTTTCAGTCTTCATATGTTGTGTCAATTCATATTCTTTCTAAATTATCTTTGCTTTGTTCTTTTGACTTTTGTCTCCTGTACACCCACATAATGCACTCTTTAAAACTAGCAAGAATCTTCACTTGTGCATACCACATTTTATTTATATTTCATTAAACATTTATTTAGTAGCAATAGATAAACATGACAAAATTTGCATTGTAAACCTTTACAGTTAAAATATTTTTGGCGAGCCGGGCGGTGGTGGCGCACGCCTTTAATCCCAGCACTCGGGAGGCAGAGGCAGGTGGATCTCTGTGAGTTCGAGGCCAGCCTGGGCTACCAAGTGAGTTCCAGGAAAGGCGCAAAGCTACACAGAGAAACCCCGTCTCGAAAAACCAAAAAAAAAAATTGGCTTGGATTATTTTTCTGCCAATTATCTAGACATTTCTAGACCAGTATGACCTAATAGAAACACAGTGTACATTATGTATGATTTATCTAGTAGCTGTGTCTTTAAAAGGAAAAGGAAGTGAAAGTTGATTTGAAGTACTTACTTAATACCATATATCTAATGGTCTCAAACATTCTCAATGTCATCAAACACAATTACAAATATTTTCACAGGGTTTTTTTTGTCGAGGTTACATTTTACAGTTAGAGAACACAGCAACCCACTGCCTATATTTCAAGCATTCAGTAGGTGCAGAGACTTGCGATACTCACCTGACCATCTGATCTCAATAGAAATCAGATGCAGCTTGATATCTGGCAGTGTCAAACAGACTGCTGCTTCCCTGCCATGAAAATGAAACATGCAACAATTTCTACTACCCATTCTTATATATATACCCAGTCTTATAAATATTGTGATTGTGTTTGTATTACTATTACTTCATTAATAATTAATAGTTAATAGTTTGTATTACTATTACTTCATTAATAGTTTGTATTGCTATTATATTCATTGTTTATCTGTACCTAGTGTTCATTTCTTACTAGAGAGTATCTCTTAAAATGCAATTATATAAAATATAGAAATTAGTATTACTTCACTCTCTTTACCTCCACAGCTGTGCTTCCAAAGTTGTCTATGTCACCACCTTTAAATTGTTTTGTTTATAGCCTAAACATTCTGTTCTATCATTATTGTAGATTAAGCTGCTTCATATTGTTTCTAAGACTCCAGATTTATAAAACCAGTAACAGCAGATATTATGACTCAATATGTAAAAGTGCTTTCCATCAAGCCTTTATTCAATCCCAGGAATCCACATGACAGAAGGAGAAACCCAGCTTCATTGATTGTTCTCTGACCTCCATATGTGCCCCATGGTATACACACACACACATACACACACACACACACACACACACACACACACACCCTTGTACCCATACACACATGCATAAATGAATAAATATATCAATCTAGATCAGCATTTCAGATAAGCAAAGATTGGAAAAGTTTACTGTAGAACCAGGCAGCGTAACTGAAGCCTTGGGAAGCAGGCTCACACACTCTTAGTCTCTGATGCTTGAAGAAAGATTCTCCATATTCAGGACAAAGGAATTCTCATTTCTTGTACTCCATCATTTTCTCTCAATTGTGCTTCAGTTCAGGTAGTGTCATTTGAAAACTATGCTTGCTATACAACATTATGTTTTCCTTGATGTTTCATTTATTTTGTTTAGTTAAGGTGTCCAGCATTGTGTTTTCACAGCATCGTTGTTTTAAATCATACAATTAAGTTCAGGAAAATGACTGCCTTCTGACCTCCTGTCTGGAGTAGCTCTCTAACCTGCTTACTAATTTGAATGTATTGCCTTTTATATCTGCATTGAGCTGTGATTTCGCAATTTAATTTCATGGATCTATTGGTCAGGGTCAAGGTTTTTATTATATATATTCCAAGGAAATGAAAATATTGTATTCTTAAGTAATTTGAAGGAAAACAGCACATGCAAGAGAAGTAAAACTTTTGAGTCTTTGCATGTATAAAAATGGGTTTATTTTGCCTTCACACTATATCAGTACATTTGTTTTCTCAGAAATATAGAATTACACATAGAATTCTTGCAAATGCTTATTAACATAGTTCCATTGCTCAGAAGTCTACAGTCCAAATGAATCACACAGGGAATAAGATGAACCCTTGTCTTTCTCCCCATTATAGGATTGGTGATGAAGCAATAGTCCAGACTTGACTTTTAGTCACTATTTTGTACTAGTTGGGAAATCAAAAATTTCATCATATAAGTTTCCCTTGGTAGATACTTGGAGAAATCACAACTTACATTAACATATTCTGAAATGTCCTTTTCCTGACCATATTTTTCAAATTCTTAATTGCTTAGTGAGTGAGTACTCTGGGAATTTTAAAACACATTCTGTGAACAAGAGAACATGCAGACATGTTGGTCAAGCTGATCATTTTCTTTGTGGATCTCATGCTTGCTTCAGCCATTATTGGTACCCTATATGCTCTCTACGTGATAGTTGCCACGAGTACTTTTATCTTAGCTATTTTTTACATTTTCAAAGGAGACATGAGAAAAAACTGTGACCTCAACAAGGACAGAAACTGGGTGCTGGAATCTAGCAATGCTACGAAGAACCCACTGGCTGAAAACACAGACAGAGTCAGTTCCCTGATGCTTACTGGACATCTCCCAGCTTTCCGGCCCATGGAAAAGGAGTCTCCCCTCTAAAAAGTCAGAATGCAGTGGAAGAACCTCATGGGAGGACTTTCAGAATGCTGTCAACAACTAAAAGGTGGGGTTGTTTTTTGTTTTTTTTTTTTGTTTTGTTTTGTTTTGTTTTTTTAAGGTGAGATTGTCAGATGTTTAGCGAAGTTCTTCTTGATACAAGTGAAATAAGCAACGTGCATGCTTGGGGTGAGAGAAAAAAGCACTTTCTTTTTTTAAGTTATACCTTCTATTTCTCAAAATAGAGCAGTAGACAGCCTCTGTATGTCTCACAGTAACGGATATCAGCTGTAAGCCTCATTTACCAAGGAAACTGTAATATTCTATCTCAAGTATTGATTGAACAAAGAGAAGAAAAAAGAGATGAACACTTCTATTGCACTTTCTCTAACAATTTGGCTAAAAGGTTTGACAGAGGAGAACATTTAAGAAAACTGATTCTTTGACCAGATGTGGGATTTTATCCTTGTTTCCAAGTAGCAGTCAGTCAGTGCCCTCAAGTTGTATGGTGGGTTTTCAGAATGGCCTTTATGGCATATGAGTGTGAAGACAGGAGTCCTGTTGTCTAACTTTGGTGCCTTGAAACAGTGGATACCGTAAAGAAAAACATGTCCGTGTGGTGGAAAGGCACTTCAAATGCTGAAGGGATACTGAGTTAGAATTCTTTTTTCCTTGCTCTATTTTTACAGCTTTGGTTCAATGACAGCAAATAGTTTGATTTTGCCTTGCTTTTTTTTTTCTGATAAATGTCTATCCTGGGTGCCTTGGGTTTGAGTTCTTATGGGTAAGTTGATGTATGTTATGTTCATT